GGGAAAAAGTCGATAGTTACGTATTGGGATATTATTTTTGATGATATATGGTATCGTTTTCACTATCGCAATATTATTTTTGCACTAATTGGCTGTACTTGCACCAAAACTGTTTGATTTCCACGACTGATCAAAGCTTTTTCATGGCTCTCTTATCCCTCAGCGGCAGACATATGGTGAGCAATATGTTTGAAATATCGAATCGCAATAAAATCGCAGTATTGAATCGCAATACATATACAGTGCCTTCAGAAAATATTTATACCCCTTGACTTATTCCACATTTTGTTGTGTTACAGCCTGAATTCAAAATGGATTACATTGATTGTTTTTCTCCCCCAGCTACATACAATACCCCATAATGACAAAGTGAAAACATGTTTTAAATTTGTTTGGCTAATTTATTGAAAATGAAATACAGAAATCTAATTTGCGTAAGTATTCATACTCCTGAGTCAATATTTCAGTTGAATGCATTCGGTTGTACAACTGACTAGGTATCCCTGGTCGGGAAAATCCCTCCATGCTAGGTTTAAAACCAAATGGCCAATAACCTATCCTCCTACTAGGCGAATCGTAAAAGCATTAAGATATGTTCAAGTTATGAACATGAGCTTATTTCCCAAATATTCTAGCCTACGAAGGTGTTGTTCTAAAGTTGTCGTGCCTTTCAAAAATAACAAGAGTAGCCTATGAATAGGCTATTCTCAATCACAGCTTTGAGAGATAGAACAAACAATATTATTTCTTCTATTATTTTGAGGCAAATAAAGCAATTGTTATCCAGTTCTGAAGACTGTAGACTGCTTCTATCCAGCCCATGATGTAGGCCTATAACCTAGCTCACTACGGTAAGACAGCCCGTTCCTCATCAGAAAGTCACTGCTCCATTATGTGCGTCTGCCATACAGACACACACACACACACAAGTGCAAAGGTGCCAAATATATTGGCACCCTTACACTTTTTCAATGGAGCAGAATATTCTGTTTTCTCTGCAAAACTGAATGGCTATTTTTACCCTGTAGGCACCTGAAACTTACCACAGGTGAGATAAATTACACATAAACAAGAGTCACTTGCCTCCAACCAAATTAATTTGAATTTTGAATAATTTATTCCAGACCACTTTTTACTTTGAAAAATCTAAATCTCAAAGATATATATTTTTTAATGTGCAGTTGTAAATCAAACAAATACACATGTGAAGACCAAAAGTTTTCAAATAGTGAATCTTGCAAAGGTGACAATATATTTGTATGCATGTGTACTGTGTGTGTGTGTGTGTGATTCAGATCACATCGGGCGGAGTGCGTCTGGTGATGCAGGACAGCAAGGCCCTGGTGTCTGAATGGAAGGAGCCACAGGGCCGGAACATCAGCGTGGCCGCATGTAACTCCTCCCAGGTGGTGCTGGCCGTGGGCCGCGCCCTCTACTATCTCCAGATCCTCTCTGGGGAACTCAAACAGATCAGGTAGACACAACTTAAATACATCAGGTACACACATCTCAAATCCAATTCAACTTTATTTATAGTGTTAAACAGCACGTGAGACTTGGTGAGCCCCAGGCCAACTGAATTGTAGCTTTAAGCGTGAATTAAAGTTGAATCAACAGAAGAGATGACTAACACAGTGACTTCAGAAAGTATTCATACCCCTTGACTTATTCCACATTTTGTTGGTACAGCCTGAATTCAAAATTGATTAAATTGATGGGTATTGTGTGTAAATTGATCTACACAGAATACCCCATAATGACAGTGAAAACATTTTTGTATATATTTTTTTGCAAATGTATTAAAATGAGATATAAGTAAGTACAAGTAATTCACACCCCTGAGTCAATAGTTGGTAGAATCACCTTTGGCAGCGATTACAGCTATTATTATTAATGTATAAAATAAACTGAAATAGGACATTTACATAAGTATTCAGACCCTTTACTCAGCATTTTGTTGAAGCAGCGATTACAGCCTTAAGTCTTCTTGGGTATGACGCTTCAATCTTTGCTCACGTCTATTTGGGGAGTTTCTCCCATTCTTCTCTGCAGATCCTCTCAATCTCTGTCAGGTTGGATGGGGAGTGTGGCTGCACAGCTATTTTCAGGTCTTTCCAGAGATGTTCCATCGGGTTAAATTCCGGGCTCTGGCTGGGCCACTCAAGGACATTCAGAGACTTGTCCCGAAGCCACTCCTGCGTTGTCTTGGCTGTGTGCTTAGGGTCACTGTCCTGTTGGAAGGTGAACCTTCGCCCCAGTCCTGAGCGCTGTGGAGCAGGTTTTCATCAAGCGTGTCTCTGTACTTTGCTCCGTTCATCTCTCCCTCGATGGTGACTAGTCTCCCAGTCCCTGCCGCTGAAAAACATCCCCACAGCATGATGCTGCCACCATGCTTCACCGTAGGGATGGTGCCCGGTTTCCTCCAGACGTGACGCTTGGCATTCAGGCCAAATAGTTCAATCTTGGTTTCATCAGACCAGAGAATCTTGTTTCTCATGGTCTGAGAGTCCTTTCGGTGCATTTTGGCAAACTCCAAGCAGGCTGTCATGTGCCTTTTACTGAGGAGTCGATTCCGTCTAGCCACTCTACCATAACTGCCTGATTGGTGGAGTGCTACAAAATTGTTTGTCCTTCTGGAAGGTTATCCCATCTCCACAGAGGAATTCTGGAGCTCTGTCAGAGTGACCGTCGGGTTCTTGGTCACCTCTCTGACCAAGGCCCTTTTCCCCCGATTGTTCAGTTTGGCCGGGCGGCCAGCTCTAGGAAGAGTCTTGGTGGTTCCAAACCTTTTCCATTTAAGAATAATGGAGGCCACTGTGTTCTTTGGGACTTTCAATGCTGCAGACATTTTTTGGTACCCTTCCCCAGATCTGTGCCTTGACACAATCTGTCTCAGAGCTCTACAGACAATTCCTTCCACTTGGTTTTTGCGCTGACATGCACTGTCAACTGTGGGATCTTATATAGACAGGTGTGTGTGCCTTTCCAAATCATGTCCAATCAATTGAATTTACCACAGGTGGACTCCAATCAAGTTGTAGAAACATCTCAAGGATGATCAATGGAAACAGCATGCACCTGAGCTCAATTTCGAGTCTCATAGCAAAGGGTCTGAATACTTATGTAAATAAGGTGTTTCTGTTTTTGCTTTCTCATTATGGGGTATTGTGTGTAGATTGATGAGGGGAAAAAAAGTAATTTAATCCATTTTAGAATAAGGCTGCAACGTAAGAAAATGTGGAAGAAAGGAAGGGGTCTGAATAATTTCAGAATGCACTGTTATACACACACTCAGCTCTATAGGCCATCACCATGCCTGAGCTGGTCTTACACTGCTGGCCAGGGAAGGCTCTACCAATGTGGTCTGGTCCAGCAGACACTGTTTTAGTGGCTGTTGATGCTGAGCTGTAGCAAAAGCCGTGCCTTTTTGAGAGTGGGCTGTTACCCACACACAATGGGGCAAAACAAATATCCAATTAAGTAAATCTGGGCTACACAATGTAAATCCAATCCCATATGGGGGTGTAGTGAGATACACAATGGGTTGGACGATTCTCTTCATCACTCATCTTGAAAAAACGTATACTAAGAACGTGGAAATCAATCAATCCACCATCATTAACACAATGGAAAAATTGAATTATTTATTATTGAAATACCATGGGTGACAGAGAAAAACAAATTGTTACAATTGAAGGCGAACAATAATGCAGACAATAGGGATGGGGGTGTGAGCATGCGGGGCAGGTGAGATGTAGTCGTTGTTTGTATAAGTTTGTATTTGGAGTAAAAATACATATTAGGTATAAAATAAAGTTAAAAATGAAAGAAAGAAAAAAAATCAATCCCATGCCCTTCTGTCTGTCCCCCTTCAGCACGGTGGAGATGGAGCACGAGGTGGCCTGCCTAGACATCACGCCCCTGGGGGAGGGCGGAGAGTCGCCCCTCTGCGCCGTGGGCCTGTGGACGGACATCTCGGCACGGGTCCTCAAGCTGCCCTGCTTCACCGCCCTGCACAAGGAGATGCTCGGAGGAGGTGAGAGGGGGGTTGGAGCTTCAACAGAGGTGTACTAAAGGGTAGTGAGGGATGGATGGATAGATGGAGCAACTGATTTTAACCTTTGTGTAGCCAGGTAAGTCTGTGTAACTTCGAGAAAAAGCTAATGTCCACTGTACTCGAATACTCGGTTCAAGGTTTTGTATTCGGTGACTATTAATTGAATACAAGTTCAATATTTTTATAAATGCAACTATTTATCAGGCTAAATTTATAAGCGCTGACAACATTTCTAATGCTAAGATATGTTTATTGTTTGGAGTCTGTCAGTGAAAATATTAGTTTAGTTTTCAGTTGTGTATCAGAACAACCAGTAATTGGAGCAACTGTTATCGCAGCCCCATTTTACGCTAACATGCTAGTACTCGAGTACGCTAAATTATTTTTGAGAGTACTCGAACACAGACATTTTTTCAAATGCCCATCCCTAATGTCCGCCCACTGTTTTGTTGCTCCGAAACGTGATCTATTAATAAAGCTTCTGTAATATCAACATTTTATTAAAATATCATGATTGGGAGCAGCACAACAGTGGGCACACATTCCCTTTTTTCTCTGTATTGGACATTCTCTTTGTCCTGCTCCTGTTATCTTTTTGGATGTGTTTATAAACCCATCTATTCAAAGCCTGTGTGACTTGTCCATGAAAGGGGAGGGAATCCTAAGGGACAGAAGCACTCTATTGGTTCCACACGTCCTAGATCCATTTGCAATGTTGCACAACCATGTGGAGGATGTTATGTTTGACCTAGCTGTTAATGCCTTCATATTTGCCCCTCGGGGATGAATAATAGAGTTGTTTTGAATTGACAGTGGAATTCTGCTGCTATTCCAAAGCTTTTCACACATTTGACACGTTTGTGTATATCTGTGTGTTTCTGTGTGTGTGTGTGTGTGTGTGTGTGTTTGTGTGCGTACAGAAATTATCCCTCGCTCCATCCTGATGACGACATTCGAGGGCAGCTTCTACCTGCTGTGTGCCCTGGGAGACGGAGCACTTTTCTACTTCGGCCTGGACCTGACGACAGGTCAGGCTGCTGGAGCAATACATTGTGTTGTTGCCTTTTGATTGAGTCACATTTGAATAAACATTCCAGACAGTTAACTGCACCATCATGTAATTCATTGATAGAACAAATTAGGTTAAGAAATGTCAAATAGGAAGCTGTTAATAGGCCTGTTCATTGTTTCTTAAAAGCTGCAGTTCGATTCTGTTTCAGAATTCTGAAAATGTATTGGAAAATGTAAAGAAAATTTCAAACTCTTCATTGGAAATTCACTGAGTGTACAAAACATTAGGAACACCTTCCTAATATTTAGTTGCTCCCCCTTTTGCCCTCAAAACAGCCTCAATTTGTCAGGGCATGGACTCTACAAGGTGTCAAGCGTTCCACAGGGATGCTGGCCCATGTTGACGCCAATGCTTTCCACAGTTGTGTTAAGTTGGCTGGATGTCCTTTGGGTGGTGGACCATTCTTGATACACACGGGAAACTGTTGAGAGTGAAAAACCCAGCAGTGTTGCAGTTCTTCACACACTCAAACCGGTGCGCCTGGCACCTACTACCATACCCTGTTCAAAGGCACTTCAATATTTTCTCTCCCATTCACCCTCTGAAAGGCACACATACACAATCCATGTCTCAAGACTTAAACATCCTTCTTTAACCTATTTCCTCCCCTTAATCTACACTGATTGAAGTGGATTTAATAGGTGACATCAATAAGGGATCATAGCTTTCACCTGGATTCAACTGGTCAGTGTATGTCATGGGAAGAGCATGTGTTCCTAAGGTTATTGACACTCAGTGTATATTGAAAATGGAGATGGTTTGGAATTGGAATTGCAACTTATCTCCTGAATAGACTGAATTGAAAGTGCACTTAACCCTGGCAGGTTGGCAAACGTATTGTTAAATCGTTGACATTGACCCTGTTGTGTTGCCACCAGGCGTGCTGAGCGAGCGTAAGAAGGTGACCCTGGGCACCCAGCCCACAGTGCTGAGGACCTTCCGCTCCCTGTCCACCTCCAACGTGTTTGCCTGCTCCGACCGGCCCACCGTCATCTACTCCTCCAACCACAAGCTGGTCTTCTCCAATGTCAACCTCAAGGAGGTCAACTACATGTGCCCGCTCAACTCCGAGGGCTACCCCGACAGGTTAGTCAGTCACGCGTAGGGCTGTTACGGTGACCGTATTACCGCCACACCGGCGGTCACGAGTCATGATGGCAGTCAAATTCTACATGACCGTTTAGTCACGGTAATTAGGCTTCTCCAAGCTCTGATGCTGTTGATGGTCATTAGTAGCCTACCAAACTTGCTAACTGCCTGGTACTCAGCACTCTATTGTCCCTCTAATCACTCTGACATCAATGGAAATGTAATCGAAAATCTAATCAAACACTTTATGAGAGCCCATGAGCTCATGTTGCGCAACATTTCTATAGGCTATGCAATTGCGTGAGAAAACAGAGTGATGGCCTCTATTAAAAAGAGGAGGATCCCATCAGCTTTCTATAGGCTCGGCCTACTATATTTATTTCTCAACTTTCCTAATATTAAGCATATTGCTTCTCTTTACACGAGGCTACACACCTCATGTAGCCTAGCGCATAGGCCTATATGTTTTGAGAAGGTTTGTATCACAACTAAAGTGACCAAATAACACCTTAAAATGAAGCACATTAAACCACTTTACAGCGGGTGTAGAGCCAAACTGGCATACATACGCAGCGCGTGAGTTTCAAGTTTGGGGAAGATAATTTTCACCATATAAATGAATCTTTATAATAAAAGCATAACATGCATAATCGCATGTGCGGTCACTTTTGAGAATGGTGTTGTCCTGCCAATGGAACATTCGCGCTTCTAGCCTACTTCCGGGTGCGCATTGCTGTGCTTATATTGTGAAGAAATAGCCTAATAGTTTATCAACATTTTAAGCTAAATGTTCTGATCTGTTGCATCAGGCTCATTGCTTAAAACTGTTTTTTTGATGCTAGTGGTTGTATTAATGTGGGATCTATCGCATCCCACAACTGTCCCAGACTGTTTGGAATATTAATTTCTCGCTCTAGGGCTGACACCAATTAGTCGACTGGTCGATTGGTTGGTCGTTAGGCTGTTGGTTGACCGAGATTGTTTTAGTTGAGCAGTAACCAATATATATATATATCAGCTTTGCATACTCTTGGCATTCTCTCAACCAGCTTCATGAGGTAGTCACCTGGAATCCATTTCAATTAACAGGTGTGCCTTGTTAAAAGTTAATTTGTGGAATTTATTTCCTTAATGTGTTTGAGCCAATCAGTTGTGTTGTGACAAGGTTAGGGGCGTTATACAGAAGATCGCCCATTTTCAATAGGATTGAGGTCAGGGCTTTGTGATGGCCATTCCAATACCTTGACTTTGTTGTCCTTAAGCCATTTTGCCACAACTTTGGAAGTATGCTTGGGGTCATTGTCCATTTGGAAGACCCATTTGCGACCAAGCTTTAACTTCCTGACTGATGTCTTGAGATGTTGCTTCAAGATATACACATAATTTTCCTTCCTCATGATGTCATCTATTTTGTGAATTTCACCATTCCCTCCTGCAGCAAAACACCCCCACAGCAAGATGCTGCCACCCCCATGCTTCATGGTTGGGATGGTGTTCTTCGGCTTGCAAGCCTTCAGCAAAACTATGAAATAGTACGATCTTTGTCCCCATGTGCAGTTGCAAAGTAATCTGGCTTTTATATGGCGGTTTTGGAGCAGTGGTCTTCTATCTTGCTGAGCGGCCTTTCAGGTTATGTCGATATAGGACTCGTTTTACTCTGGATATATATACTTTTGTACCCGTTTCCTCCAGCATTTTCACAAGGTCCTTTGCTGTTCTGGGATTGATTTGAACTTTTCGCACCAAAGTACGTTCATCTCTAGACAGAACGCGTCTCCTTCCTGAGCGGAATGTAGGCTGCGTTGGTCCCATGGTGTTTATACTTGCGTACTATTGTTTGTACAGATGAACGTGGTACCTTCAGGCGTTTGGGAATTGCTCCTAAGGATGAACCAGACTTGTGGAGGTCTACCATTTTTTTTCTGAGGCCTTGGCTGATTTCTTTTGATTTTCACATGATGTCAAGCAAAGAGGCACTGAGTTTGAAGGTAGGCCTTAAAATACATCCACAGGTACACCTCCAATTGACTCAAATGATGTCAATTAGCCTATCAGAGGCTTCTAAAGCCATGACATCATTTTCTGGAATTTTCCAAGCTGCTTAAAGGCACAGTCAATTTAGTGTATGTACATTTCTGACCCACTGGAATTGTGATACAGTGAATTATAAGTGAAATAATCTGTCTGTAAACAATTGTTGGAAAAATTACTTGTCATGCACAAAGTAGATGTCCTAACTGACTTGCCAAAACTATAGTTTGTTAACAAGAAATTTGTGGAGTGGTTGAAAAACTAGTTTTAATGACTCCAACCTAAATGTATGTAAACTTCCGACTTCAACTGTATATATAAATAAATGTGCGCCCGTCTCAGTGAACTAAGACTAAAGGCCTAGACTAAAAGCCATTTTATGCTTGATCTGAAAATGTTGTCAGAGGCTCCATATGGAGGGTGTGACGCAAATGCAGAGCCTCCGGAGGCATGCAGTGGCCAAATCAAGCTCCGTACCACATCGCCCTGCGCTTCCCAAATTGTGTAACTATGCGGAGGGCTCTGTATAGCTCCGCATTGACATGATTGGTTGATGGTAGGTGGGGGCAGTACATCCTGTATAAACACAAACTCACTTCCTTGACAAAAGCTCTGCACTACTCTGTGAAGCATAAGAAGTATGAATGCCATGACTTCTGCTGAGGCCATATCACCGTAAATGCTGCATGGCCAATGCAGACGTGGGATTGACCATGGCCCAGATGCACAATGCCCTTCTCTCTCCAGAGTGCGCTCTTAACCGGCAATTTGTGCACATTCATTGTCTCATAACTTCATTGTGTGAATTGTTTGCTTTGATTGTTTTTTTTTAGGGGGTAGATCAGCTTTAATACTGCAGATAGATTGTAACTTACATCAATGTAATTGTCTGCATCACTTCCAATCCCCCATATGTCTTTTTTTTTGCATATATATATATATATACATACAAACACATTGATTGTTAGTGTAGGTCAATTCCCCATTACATATACAGAGCATTCAGAAAGTATTTAGACCCCTTCCCTTTTTCCACATTTTGTTACGATACAGCCTTATTCTAAAATGGATTAAATATTTTTTTCCCTCAATCTACACACACTATCCCATAATAACAAAGCGAAAACAGGTTTTTAGAAATTTTTGCAAATGTATTCAAAATAAAAAACAGATACCTTATTTACATAAGTATTCAGACCCTTTGCTATGAGACTCGAAATTGAGCTGAGGTGCATCCTGTTTCCATTGATCATCCTTGAAATGTTTCTACAACTTGATTGGGGTCCACTTGTGGTAAATTCAATTGATTGGACATGATTTGTAAAGGCACACACCTGTCTATATAAGGTCCCACAGTTGACCGTGCATGTCAGAGCAAAAACCAAGCCATGAGGTCGAAGGAATTGTCCGTAGAGCTCCGAGACAGGATTGTGTCGAGGCATAGATTTGGGGAAGGGTACCAAAAAATGTCTGCAGCATTGAAGGTCCCCAAGAACACAGTGGCCTCCATCATTCTTAAATGGAAGACGTTTGGAATCACCAAGACTCTTCCTAGAGCTGGCAGCCTGGCCAGACTGAGCAATGGGGAAGAAGGGCCTTGGTCAGGGAGGTGACGAAGAACCCAATGGTAACTCTGACAGAGTTCCTCTGTGGAGATGGGAGAACCTTCCAGAAGGACAACCATCTCTGCAGCACTCCACCAATCAGGCCTTTATGGTGGAGTGGCCAGACGGAAGCCACTCCTCAGTAAAAGGCACATGACAGCCCGCTTGGAGTTTGCCAAAAGGCACCTAAAGGACTCTGACCATGAGAAACAAGATTCTCTGGTCTGATGAAACCAAGATTGAACTCTGTGGCCTGAATGCCAAGCGTCACGTCAGGAGGAAATCTGGCACCTTTCCTACGGTGAAGCATAGTGGTGGCAGCATCATGCTGTGGGGATGTTTTTCAGCGGCAGGGACTGGGAGACTAGTCAGGATCGAGGGAAATATGAACAGCGCAAAGTACAGAGAGATCCTTGATGAAAACCCGCTCCAGAGCGCTCAGGACCTCAGACCCTAAGCACACAGCCAAGACAACGCAGGAATGACTTCGGGACAAGTCTATGAATGTCCTTGAGTGGCCCAGCCAGAGCCCAGACTTGAACCCGATAGAACATCTCTGGAGAGACCTGAAAATAGCTGTGCAGAGCTTGAGAGGATCTGCTGAGAGGAATGGGAGAAGCTCCCCAAATACAGGTGTGCCAAGCTTGTAGAGTCATACCCAAGAAGACTAGAGGCTGTAATCACTGCCAAAGGTGCTTCAACAAAGTACTGAGTAAAGGGTCTGAATACTTATGTATTGTGTGTAGATTGATGGGGGGGGGGGGGACTATTTAGTCCATTATAGAATAAGGCTATAACGTAACAGAATGTGGAAAAAGTCAAAGGGTTTGAATAATTTCCGAATGCACTGTATCACCAGTAGTAAATCTACCGTTAATTCCTATAATTTCAAATCTACTATGTTGTTACATTGGTTACAGTCATTTTATTTTAATGCATTAAATATTATTATTTCAGTCTTCCCGTTATCATTGTCGGAGTGGACACATTGTTAGCTGAGTGCACAACCTACGCTACACTTGTGAGAAACCAGTTTAGATTTATTTCATTCCAGTTACGATTTTAGTCAATTTAGTCATTGTCTTTTGTTTGGAGCGCTCCTGTCAATGTTGAGTAAGGACGCGCAGGCATAGAGGTAGGCCTATAGGCTGCCTGGCCTGTATGCAAATGTAGGCATATAAATGTGCCCATTTGGGGATCTGATAGTATTTCTGATTGGCTTAACGCACCACCACTAATGCCCTGTGGAGCTTCTCAAAGTAATGTTTTCTTCACCTGAAACAGCAAGCAAAGTATTTTTTTTACATCCATTGAGAATTCCAATAGTTCCTCAATGTATTTGTAAAATCTTTCCAGCTCTCTCCCTTTCAATAACCACTCAGCGTGAAAGGGTAAAATGTCATGCTCTGATCCAGTGGAAACATCATAAAATAGGCCTACCTGATAACTTCTTATCAGTGCTAGACTTGGACTAAAAAAGGATCCAGTACTCATTTTGGGTGCTGGTACTGTTTTATATTTAGGTGCAGGAGCTCCACAATACCTTTGAGCTAATATTCTAAAAGAGGAACAGGAGCTCAAGCAGTAGAGAATTTGAGGTGCTTGTACTCTACTCCGGTGAGCTCCTGCCCAAGTCAAGCACTACCGTACTTCTTATCCCTTGCGCAAATAGCCTAAAGCTGTGTCTGTCCCGAGCTCACTGGCGTGGGTAACTCTTGAGGGCCCAGAATATTTTATATAATGTTGCAAGTTGGCTAGCACAAGCTTCGGGCTGGACCCAGTTAATAGTTGATACAATGTTTTAAGTTTGTTGCAGACAGGCCATGTGTAGCCAATGGGATATATAGGATATTTATTTTTACCAGAATATTTTCTACCTGCAGGCTGCAATGTTTGTATTGGTTGGCTTTATGTAGGCTATTTTTACGTAGTTGGCAATAGAAGTTACTTTTTAGGTTTGTATCTTTTTCATTTGGATTGAATTTTGATTAACCACATGACAATGATTTTGAGATATGAAGACGTTTTTATGAAAATGTGCATATGAAAACCATAACTGGCACGCAGATCGGTAGAAATTGTAAGATAAATGTCTGCTAAATGAACTAGTGTAGCCCACAGCCATATGGCGTAGCCAGATCAGGGCCTAACATAAGGACAACTCAGAGTATGCTATTATGTTGTTCTTAAGTAGACTAACATTTTCTTCATATCATGTTTCTTTAGACCTGTCTAAAATAAATAATGGATTTGTTGTGATGGTGTAAGCTATATTACATGGATTTATTAGACTTTTTAAATGTAGATGCTCCAAAGGTCTGCATCAGTGGCTTGTAGGCTATGCGTGGAAGCCAGGAGATGCTTAATGTGTTTATGTTAATTAACGGTCAATTACCATGAGACCGGCAGTTATTTGCCTGACAATCACTGGCTGGCAAAACTTAATAACCGCCACAGCCATAGGCACGTGCGTCTCAATAGTCTAAAGTGGCTTCCTTCCTGTGTTTTTAGAGCAGCGCAAATGGTGGCGAGGAGACTGAGACCGTTGTGTTTTATTTTTCTCATTCAAGGAATCTAAGAAAATAATCGGAATGATTACAAAGCTAGAAGTAATATGTAACTTATCTGTTGTTGTTGGTGTGTGGTAGTAACCTGTCTGTGTCTTTGGCAGTCTGGCTCTGGCCAACAACAGCACTCTCACCATCGGCACCATCGACGAGATCCAAAAGCTCCACATTCGCACGGTTCCCCTCTACGAGTCTCCCAGGTAAGAGGGAGCAACACCAGTAGAAATAGTTACACAAAGTAGAAGTATATCTTTGCAATGGATTTACCTTCAGTTAAATCAAGAGCAAAACATTTGTCTTTCTTTTGGGACACTTTTTCTCTTGATCTCGCTCCCTCTCTCACTTACTCGCTCCCCCTTTCTATCTCTCCACTTTATTCTCCCTGCTCTCTCCCCCTCCCTCTCTCAGGAGGATCTGTTACCAGGAGGTGTCTCAGTGTTTCGGGGTGCTGTCTAGCCGCGTGGAGATGCAAGATGCCAGCGGGACCACGGCAGCAGTGCGCCCCAGTGCTAGCACTCAGGTAGCTGCACACCATCTGGTGTTTCAATGTACCACTGCCAAGATCTCCTATTCTGGGCCCGTATTCATACATCTTCTCAGAGTAGGAGTGCTGATCAAGGCCTTTCGAATATGGGCCCTGAGCCTTGTTTCCCACATTCAACGTTTTTCATGATGCATCGTGACTTAAGTGCAACTGCGTGTTTTGTAGAATAACAGTCTGGAAATATCTGTAAACTTCGCTCTATATGAACTAAAGCATCAGCATTCAGAGAGAGTTACTGCATTCTATTTAGCAGTGTTAGTGCAATGATGTGTTTTTGGGCAAAATGCCTTGAATGCTAGTGATGCACATCGCTTGGCTGACAAGCTGTCCAGATTACTTAGTTTAGATTTATTGCACATAATGATTAAAAATAAGAAAGGAGAAAAAAATATGATTTACAAGACTTGTAGGTGAGGAAGAGAACCTACTCCCTTTTTCCCTAGCCTTGTGGGTGTGCATAGTCTGGGGTTTTCATATTTTCCCACTTTCTCTGCCTTTCGTATCTCCTCTCTTTTTACCTCTCCCCAGGCTCTGTCTAGCAGTGTGAGCTCCAGTAAGCTGTTCCCCAGCAGCACCTCCCCACACGAGACCTCCTTCGGGGAGGAGGTGGAGGTGCACAGCCTCCTGGTGGTCGACCAACACACCTTCGAAGGTAAGTTAGTTCCCCCTAAAAACCGTCTTGATTAAAGACAACATTTGTAAATTTGAAGTGAATTAATTTGATCTGTTACTGGTGATTGGTGAGCTGGTGATTGTACGCTTGAGGAGTACACACAATTCTCACCTTTTTGTGGTGATTTGTCCTCAATAGTGGGATTTTTACATGTGTGTTCATCCTCCCAGTGCTCCACGCCCACCAGTTCCTCCAGAGTGAGTACGCCCTCAGCATGGTATCCTGCCGCCTGGGCAGGGACCCCTCAGTCTACTTTATCGTCGGCACAGCGATGGTCTACCCAGAGGAGGCGGAGCCCAAGCAAGGCCGCATCATCGTCTTCCACTACACTGACGGTTAGGATTAACTTTTTCTCTCTATCTTTCTTTCATTCTCATTGTTCTCACTCACTCTTTCCCATCTTTCTTCTCCTGTCGTTCTCTTTCACCCCCCCTCTTGCAATCCACCAATTTTTTTACACACTCTCTTACACTTCCTTCTACAGTCTCTTCTTACATTTACATTTTACTAATTTAGCAGACGCTCTTATCCAGAGCGACTTACAGTTAGTGAGCGCATACATTTTTCATACTGGCCCCCCGTGGGAATCGAACCCACAACCCTGGCGTTGCAAGCGCCATGCTCTACCAACTGAGCTACAGGAGCCCCTCGTCTTTTTCTCTCACTCATTCTCACTCACCTTTTCCTCACTCGTTCCATGCCTCTTCCTCCCTTGATAGTGCCTGATAGCACCTTCCTATCGATAATCATCTCAGTCATTAAGATAGATGACTCCGAGTGAACAAATGCTGTAAATACTGTATCAGAGCGCTATAACACTAGCCTGAAAACCAAACTGATATGCTGCATTTAACCATTTTGTTGTTTTTTTTATCCTGGAATCCAAACCATTATGCTCAGTTTCAACATTCTTTCACGGTGAAAGAAATGGTTAAACAAAACATAGCAGTTTGGATTTCAGGCTACTGTTACACCAACCCTGACCCAGACTGTTATTTCTCTTCATCTGTGTAGGTAAGCTGCAGACGGTGGCAGAGAAGGAGGTTAAGGGAGCCGTCTACTCCATGGTGGAGTTCAATGGCAAACTGCTGGCCAGCATCAACAGCACAGTGAGTATTTCACTTTTGATGGTTTGAAAGTAGAAGTTTTTAAAGCCAGCTCCTATTTTACAGGTTATAGTTGTAGATACTCACATGTAGGGACATTTTTCCATCCACTAAAATTAAAACTTTCACTTTGTCTCTCATTGCCATTAATGCATCACTAAGTGAATATTTGATTTATGTGAAAGTTAGGATTCGCCCCATGTTACTTGGCATAAAAAACAAAGAAGATTAAGGAGACATTCCGCAGATGTTTTATTTCTCTCTTGGTGTTGCTGCCTTGTCAAATTCAGTGCTTCCTCAACAATGGACCGTACTAGCCATAATGGCTGCCACAGTGAAACTGTAGTTATGGGACCCACAACCATACGGAATGGGTGTTAGGGATAAACTTGAATTACAGAGAATTTAGTTAATTTAAGTCTATCCAGTAGTATTCTTTGGAATCTAAAGGAACATTGAAGGGGGTATTTCTTGTAATTGTATGATATACATGTCTCCTACAAAAACAACCTTGGTGCTTTCGAGTCCTTGTTACTCTGAAACTACACTGCAGCGTCTAGACTGCTCCTCGACAATTGTGTATGTCAATATCAACGCATCATCAATGTGCGCACGCCCCAGGTGCGTCTGTACGAGTGGACCGCTGAGAAGGAGCTGAGGACAGAGTGTAACCACTACAACAATATCATGGCACTCTACCTAAAGACCAAAGGAGATTTCATCCTGGTGGGAGACCTGATGAGGTCTGTGCTGCTGCTGGCCTATAAACCCATGGAGGGCAACTTTGAGGAGGTAAGGAATGATACTAAGAGAGGCCCTGCCAGTGTCCCAATTCCTCCACCCTTTCCCCTAAGAGGATGGGGGATGTGCTCAATGCCACACTTCAAGGAGGAGGGTGTAGAATTGGAACACAGACTAGCTTTATAAGGTCTAAATTATGATTTATTTTGGTTTTGCTCATGTACAGATTTTTTCATCGTGGGCGGTTCCTCCTTGGAATACAGCATTCTCCAAAATATAGATTTGAATGCTTTTATTTTGTCGTACTCATTTCTCATGGGCTATATCAAGGAGGATTCAACACCAAACACTTGCAATGAATAAGAACTTGAGTTATGAGTTAGAACCATTGTTTGGTGGATGAATAAAGTTTATTGAATGGAATTGAATTGAGCCACTGGTGATACGACTGCTTTTCTACTGTCACTCTTCTCAGATCGCCCGTGACTTCAATCCCAACTGGATGAGTGCTGTGGAGATCTTGGACGATGACAACTTCCTGGGGGCGGAGAATGCCTTCAACCTCTTTGTGTGTCAAAAAGACAGGTGAGGTGGAATCCTCTCTCCTCGCCTCAGAAGGAAGAGACCTCTAATACGGTTTAGGAGGCGAAGAAATAGTATGCGTAGAATCGCAGAAAGACTCATTGAGATGGAGGCCGACCTTGACATGTCCTCACACGCTCACCGCCGTCCTCCATAAGCCGTCGAGTTAATCATCCATGATCACTGAATTCCATTGAGCTTTATCTTTCTCTCACATGTTTGTGGATGCCACCGTTTCTCTCTGTCTTCTCTCCCTCGTCCTTCCTCCTGTGCTCTTTCGCTTTCAGTCATCAAATTTGTATTCTGTTTATCAATATACCTTTCTTATTTCTTACTCATTACCTCTCATCTACATCTATTGCTTTTCCCATATATATTTTTCTTCCTGCCTCTGTATCCTTCGCTTTATCTCTGACACTTTCACTCAATTAAATTCAGTTAAATGTAGCTTTTTAAGAATGAAATAAATGGGTACACATTGCCAAAGCATGAAATAATTAGGACCAAAATAGAAGTTGAGCTCTCTCCCCCTCTCTCTCCCTCGGCAGTGCGGCCACGACAGATGAGGAGCGACAACACCTGCAGGAGGTGGGCGTGTTCCACCTGGGGGAGTTTGTCAACGTCTTCTCCCATGGGTCACTGGTGCTGCAGAACCTGGGCGAGAGCTCCACCCCCACGCAGGGCTCCGTGCTCTTCGGCACCGTCAACGGCATGATCGGTAATGGCCCCCACTGCCACACGCCGGGGTGTATTCACTAGAAACCAAATGGAAGCAAACAGGGCGAAAAAGGAAGGGCCTAACCTGAATTTGTCCAATAAGCAATGCTTGTTTTTTCGTTGCAAAACGTTTTGCTATGGTTTGTTAGTTTGCAGTAATGAATACACCCCAAGGTCGTCTTCATTCAGTAGAGCATGCAGTAGCACAACATTTTGTGACTGCAAGAGAGAGATCTGTGTTCTTATTGGACATGTTTCTGTAGCAGCACTTGGGTTTCAAAATGTTGTTTTTCTGGTGCCTACTGAAGCAGTACTGATGCCGGTTTCAAGGTCCCAAATGCCCTCGTGTCTTTTTTTTGGCTATGTAATGTTAGTGAAGCGGTCCGCTCTACAGATTTTCCTCAACTTCATAAGCACCCATCTTAAGGATGAGAGGTGGGAAGCAGTGGAGAGGGGACGAAAGTAACTTCTAAGTGACATTACTTTCTCCATTTCTTTCATAGCTGTGGTAATAAAGAAAGGGGAATGAAGGCTTGGAGTGTTCACTGAAGTTCTGCAATGACTATTATTTCACTGAGGCACCTTCACAATTCTCCTGAAAGTTGTTTCACCTTCCCTCAGTCAGACAACCCACACTCAAATTCCCTCTCAGCTTCCATCTTTTCTCCTTCACTACTTATGAGTGGCGAGCACCAGCGAGCGTACGGATCTGCACACATCATCCATTTCGGTTCTCCTTTTTCTTTTCTCCAATAAATGACAAGCCATCTGTCTTGTGTCTCTAGGTCTGGTGACCTCTCTGTCCGAGGGCTGGTACAGCCTGCTGCTGGACCTGCAGAACCGACTCAACAAGGTCATCAAGAGCGTGGGCAAGATCGAGCACAGCTTATATCCTTTCCTTCTGGTGTGTGTGTTCACGTACGCGCACGTGGACAAATACCTGCCCCTGTGTATCACATTGAAAGTGCCTTTTCAGAACCGGTGAGCGTCACTGTCACGGGTGGCAAAGCTTGGTACCACCTACCTTGACGTGCGCTGTCAGAATGGTAATGGTTGTCATAACATGCCTGTAAATAAATGAATGAATGAAAAGGTGCTGTGTTTTACCGTGTCATGTGTGAATGAAGCGACAGCCTGAAGTTGACATGTAGCCGTGTGTGTGTGACACGACTGCCTGTCATCCATATAAGATGGGACAGTGCTTGATTACAGGGGGAGTCACAGGGAAGAATCAATAGGGTTGTGATGGTCATGGAATTTTGGATAGCGGTAATTGGCCAGCCAAATGACTGCGGTCACTGTAATAACCGTTCGATTAGCCGCTCCTCCGCTCCTGACTGCATGTGCTGCCATAAAAATAGAATGAATAGAACGGGCGTCCCAATTCAAGTCAATGATTCTACATTACCATGGAAATTATTGCATCACGATACCAGGCAGTCCTGAGTGGCGCAGCGGTCAAAAGCACTGCATCGCAGTGCTGAGGCGCCCAACATCCTGGGGTTTGATCCCAGGCTGTGTCACAGCCAGCCGTGACCGGGAGCCCCATAGGACGGTGCACAATTGGCTCAGAGCCGTCCGGGGTAAGGGGGGGATTGGCCCGGGGGCTTTCCTTGGCTCATCGCGCTCTAGTGACTCCTTGTGGCAGGGCCGGGCACATGCAAGCTGACTTCGGTCATCAGTCGAACAGTGTTTCCTCCGACACATTGGTACAGCTGACTTCCGGTTTAAGCGAGCAGTGTGATAAGTGGCGCGGCCAGGCAGGTCATGTTTTGGAGGACGCATGACTCAACATTTTCCTCTCCTGAGCCCAATGGGGAGTTGCAGCGATGAGCCAAAGATCGTAATTCTGAGAGAAAATTGGGTAAAGAAAATACGCTTTTGGCCATAACACCCGTGAACACACCTGATCTTGGTAGCTAAGCGGGGTCGGGCCTGGTTAGTACTTGGATGGCAGACCGCCTGGGAATACCAGGTGCTGTAAGCTCAAAAATAAAATAAAACAATACCAGGCAGCCATTGCGTGTGTACCCATCAGTTTACCAGTAAAATTGCAAGGGTTAGAGGTTCCAAGCCCGTTCTATTCACTTCTGTTCACTATTTATGTGCTGCTGCAGGGAGGGGGTGTTGCCTAAGCAACCGAAAGACTTGTTCACTACAACACCTTGCTTGTTTCAGCAAGGAACAACAAAGTTTCATCAAGTTGTTAAGAGTCCATGTTAACACAGAAACGGACTCAACCGCACAAATTCCCGGCCGTCAGCTGTTCGAACCCCCCCCAAAATGGTTATAACGGGTATTTTATTTTCAAGACGGTCTTCATCCATAACCGTCGGTTTCACGGTTATACAGTAATTGTGCCAGCCTTAAGAATCACATATTTGAGAAGCAGACTCTTATAGTGGTCTAAAATCACTTACGCTGTACTTTTGTTTTTAAGAATAACTTAGTTTGAAGCAGAGCTTGAATTGGTATGAAAAATGTGCCAGTTCTCATTTTAGGGGCCGCTGCTCATTTAAATTATTCAGTACATGTACTCATATTTTAGAGTGAACATTCTATGAGTACTCAAACCAAAAAAAATGCAGGTTCCGGTACTCAAAAGGACAGAGTTCCCTGTAAGAAGAGTGGCTTTGCTGTAGGGGTATGTGTGTAGGTGTGTGTTTATTTGTCTTCCTTGACTCTGTGGCACCTGGAGGTCCTTCCATACGGAGCGTAAGACTGAGCAGGCCACGGGCTTCATCGATGGGGACCTCATCGAGAGCTTCCTGGACCTGGGCCGCGCCAAGATGCAGGAGGTGGTCAGCACACTACAGGTACGAACACACATACACGCTCTCTCAAAAACACTTAGACATACACACACGTACACGCTCTCACACATATACATGCTCTCACACAGACACACACACTCATTCACTCGCTCTCTCACACACACTAGCTCGCTCACACTTTTTGGAATGCAGTGACACTTGATGATGGTACCACTCAGCTACATGTGTCCCATAGCTGTGCGGGTCAATCCAAACTGCTGGGACAGTGAGCTGACGTAACACCCCCTTCTGCGTTTCAGATTGACGACGGCAGCGGCATGAAGCGCGAGGCCACCGTGGACGAGGTCATAAAGATTGTGGAGGAGCTGACAAGGATCCACTAGCCCCTCCCTCCCAGACCCCGGCCATTACGGGGTGGGGTGGAGGGAAGGAACCGGGGGGAGGGGTGACTAGGTCTCTGTAAATACTTATAAATAAATAAAAAGGTGTTTGCATGACCGTCTTCCAGACTTCAAATGAATTGACACATTTTTTAAATCCGATCCCAGACGCGCCACATCAGTAATTCACAGGTGCTTGGATAAACAAAGTGGCCTATCGACCATAACGAAGATGACGAGCAAAGGGACTGGTCAGAAAGCCATAAGTTATGGAGGAGGAGGGGGGGCGGCTAGATCACTGCAGTGCGAGGACGACAAGAGATGACTTGTGGATTTGACGGGGATCCATTAAAGTAGGAATGATTTGAAGTCTGGACAGAACATGAGTAAGAGGAGTAAGGAATGGGCGGAAAACTATACATTCTTAGCTATTTTGTCTGCCGTTTCTCCATGTTTCTTTTAATAAAGGTTGCTTTAGTACTGTGTACCTCTGCGTTCAGGTCTTTTGTGTTTCATGAATGGTGCACAGAGGTCTCCGATCTTTCCTTCTGAGCATTAACTTCAGTCGGTTTGAAAGCATGTCCAAAGTCCTATACCACAGTATCATTTCAAAAGCAATTTATATAAGTGCACATGCCAACCAACAATGACATATTGTATTATTGAAAATGTATGCACTCACTACTGTAAGTCGCTCTGGATAAGAGCATCTGCTAAATGACAAATGTAAAAATGAATCACTTTGTGTGACTTAAACGATGTCACTGAGTGCAGTAATGGTCCTTTGTGCTAAATTACCACTACAGTGTACTATATGAACTTTTGCATTGTCTCCTATAGTTGAAGTCTTCTCTCAACTCAGTTTTGACTATGGGGACACGTTTGTCACAAGGCATAAGAAAGTGGTGAAAGATTTATTAGCAAAGTCCGAGAGTATTTGTAGTTAGTCAAGGTGCATATCGTGACGGTGTGCAGAGACCTCAGGGTTACAAAGGAACCAGAATGAACTGTGCTCGGGCTATGAGATAAGTACTTTGCTATAATTATTACAGACAGTAGAGTTCCTGGGCTACCAGGTGGGGGAACTGGTCAATCAATGATGAATTAACTGCCAGGAAGAAGGATGGAATTGAATAGCCCTGGGCCCGTATTCATATTGCATCTAGGATCAGATCCCCCTGTCCATGTAGTCTTTTTTTATGTGGTCTAAAAGGAAAAACTGATCCTAAATCAGCAAGTTTACATACACTAAAACTCGTTTTTCAACCATTCCACGTTAACAAACTATAGTTTTGGCAAGTCGGTTAGGACAGCAACTTTGTGCATGACACAAGTAATCTTTCCAACAATTGTTTACAGACAGATTATTTCACTTATAATTCACTGTACCACAATTCCAGTGGGTCAGAAGTTTACATACACTAAGTTGACTTTGCCTTTACATTTACGTCATTTAGCAGACGCTCTTATCCAGAGCGACTTACAGTTAATGAGTGCATACATTATTATTATTTTTCATACTGGCCCCCCGTGGGAATCGAACCCACAACCCTGGCATTGCAAACGCCATGCTCTACCAACTGAGCTACATCCCTGCCGGCCATTCCCATCCCTACCAATTGTGCGCCGCCCCATGGGTCTCCCGGTCGCGGCCGGCTACGACAGAGCCTGGATTCGAACCAGGATCTCTAGTGGCACAGCTAGCACTGCGATGCAGTGCCTTAGACCACTGCGCCACTCGGGAGACTTAAACAGCTTGGAAAGTTCCAGAAAATGATGTCATGGCTTTAGATGCTTCTGATAGGCTTATTGACGTCATTTGATGAGTCAATTGGAGGTGTACCTGTGGATGTATTTCAAGCCCTACCTTCAAACTCAGTGCCTCTTTGCTTGACATCATGGGAAAATCAAAAGAAATCAGCCAAGACCTCAGAAAATAAATTGTAGACCTCCACAAGTCTGGTTCTCCTTGGGAGCAATTTCCAAATGCTTGAAGGTAACACGTTCATCTGTACAAACAATAGTACGCAAGTATAAACACCATGGGACCTCGCAGCCGTCATACCGCTCAGGAAGGAGACGCGTTCTGTCTCCTAGAGATGAACGTTCTTTGGTGCGAAAAGTGCAAATCAATCCCAGAACAACAGCAAAGGACCTTGTGAAGATGCTGGAGGAAACAGGTACAAAAGTATCTATATCCACAGTAAAACAAGTCTTATGTTGATATAACCTGAAAGGCTGCTCAGCAAGGAAGAAGCCACTGCTCCAAAACCGCCATAAAAAAGCCAGACTATGGTTTGCAACTGCACATGGGTACAAAGGTCATACTTTTTTGAGAAATGTCCTCTGGTCTGATGAAAAATATAACTGTTTGGCCATAATGACCATCGTTATGTTTGGGGGAAAAAGGGGGTGGCTTGCAAGCCGAAGAACACCATCCCAACCGTGAAGCACGGGGGTGGCAGCATCATGCTGTGGGGATGCTTTGCTGCAGGAGGGACTGGTGCACTTCACAAAATAGATGGCATCAGGAGGAAAGAAAATTATGTGGATATATTGAAGCAACATCTCAAGACATCATGTCAGGAAGTTAAAGCTTGGTCACAAATGGGTCTTCCAAATGGACAATGACCCCAAGCATACTTCCAAAGTTGTGGCAAAATGGCTTAAGGACAACAAAGTCGAGGTATTGGAGTGGCCATCACAAAGCCCTGACCAGATTTGTGGGCAGAACTGAAAAAGCGTGTGCGAGCAAGGAGGCCTACAAACCTGACTCGGTTACACCAGCTCTGTCAGGAGGAATGGGCCGAAATTCACCCAACTTATTGTGGGAAGCTTGTGGAAGGCTACCCGAAACGTTTGACCCAAGTTAAACAATTTAAAGGCAATGCTACCAAATACTAATTTAGTGTATGTAAACTTCCGACCCACTGGGAATGTGATGAAAGAAATAAAAGCTGAAATTAATCATTCTCTCTACTATTATTCTGACATTTCACATTCTTAAAATAAAGTGGTGATCCTAACTGACCTAAGACATGGAATGTGTACTAGGATTAAATGTCAGGAATTGTGAAGAACTGAGTAACTGTATTTGGCTAAGGTGTATGTAAACTTCTGACTTCAACTGTAGTTACACAGTCTCTTAGGACACTCCAGAGAGGCATTATCTGCCGATGTCAGCTGTACACCAGAACGTCCATAACATCCTCCGCCAGGACCAGACCTCTTTGTTAAATCAAACAGCATACCTAATTTATTTTCTCCCTTGGCAGGTTCTCCCTTGTCTGGCAGTGCTTTGTTTTTGATGACGAACGTGAACATGGAGCCAACATGCTGCGTTACAGCAGCTGAGGGGGTGATCCTGGCCTTGTTGTGTCTATCATCCGATGAAAGCAATGGGAACTGATCCATTTTGATTGAGGTATTGCAGCACTTTGGATTTTAAATGATATATTGACAGGTTAAAGTGCAGACTGTCATCTTTAATTTGAGGTTATCTTCATCCATATCGGGTGGCAGGTAGCCTAGCGGTGAAGAGTGTTGGGCCAGTAACTGAAATGTTAGAATCCCCAAACCGACTAGGTGACATCTGCCGACGTGCCCTTGAGCAAGGCACTTAACCCCAATTGCTTTTTGTACATAACCCCCTTATTGTAGGGAACCAAAAGTATTTGGACAAATTCATTTATGTGTATTAAAGTAGTAAAAAGGTAAGTATTTGGTCCCATATTCCTGTGACTCTACAAGCTTGTTGGATGCATTTGCAGTTTGTTTACGTTGTTTCAGATTATTTTGTGCTCAATAGAAATGAATGGTAAATAATGTATTGTGTCATTTTGTAATCACTTTAATTGTAAATAAGAATAGAATATGTTTCTAAACACTTCTACATTAATGTGGATGCTACCATGATTATGGATAATCATGAATTAATCGTGAATAATGATGATTGAGAAAGTTAGAGGCACAAAGATCATACCCCCATTCTTGTGGGAAGCTGCTATAGACCACCAAGTGCCAAACTGTAGTATCTGGATAATATGTGTGAAATGCTTGATAATGTATGTGATATCAACAGAGAGGTACACTACATGACCAGAAGTATGAGGACACCTGCTCGTTGAACATCTCATTCCAAAATCATGGGCATTAATATGGAATTGGTCCCCCCTTTGCTGCTAGAACAGCCTCCACTCTTCTGGGAAGGCTTTCCACTAGATGTTGGAACATTGCTTGTTAGAGGCTAAATGGAACTTGCTTCCATTTAGCCTCTAGAGCATTAGTGAGGTCGGGCACTGATGTTGGGCGATTAGGTCTGGCTCGCAGTCGGCATTCCAATTCAACCCAAATGTGTTCGATGGGGTTGAGGTCAGGGCTCTGTGCAGGCCAGTGAAGTTCTTCCACACCGATCTCAACAAACCATTTCTGTATGGACCTCGCTTTGTGCACGGGGGCATTGTCATGCTGAAACAGGAAAGGGCCTTCCCAAACTGTTGCCACAAAGTTGGAAGCACAGAATCGTCTAGAATGTCATTGTATGCTGTAGCATTAAGATTTCCCTTCACTGGAACTAAGGGGCCTAGCCCGAACCATGAAAAACAGCCCCACACCATTATTCCTTCTCCACCAAACTTTACAGTTGGCACTATGCATTGGGGCAGGTAGCGTTCTCCTGGCATCCGCCAAACCCAGATTTGTCTGTCGGAATGCAATGATGGTGAAGTGAGAATGAATTTCCACTGCTCCAGAGTCCAATGGCAGCGAGCTTTACATCACTCCAGCCGACGCTTGGCATTGCGTATGGTGATCTTAGGCTAGTGTGTGGCTTCTCGGCCCTGGAAACCCATTTCATTAAGCTCCCGACTAACAGTTATTGTGCTGACATTGCTTCCAGAGGCAGTTTGGAACCGAGGACAGACGATTTTTACGCGCTTCAGCAATCGGCGGTCCCATTCTGTGAGCTTGTGTGGCCTACCACTTCGCGGCTGAGCCGTTGTTGC